TGCCTGCCAGTGTCAATTTTGTTATTTTTTTCTCAATGATGATCACTTATTAATACTTAAAGATGCACAGCCATTTTTTTTTCAGTATTTCATATTAAATGAACTATGTTCCCCAATATTAACCGAGGAAAATAAGCAAAATATTGAGCAATCAGTATCAGATGACTATTTTTCACAATGAATGGTATTACATATGCATGCACCTAATTGTCCCATGTAAAGTCAACCTTTGCAGAGCTTTATTTGAGTCCAGATGACAGAAAAACAGAAGAATTGATCATTTCATCCAGCTAAACTAATGAGTAGGAAAAAATAGAGGGAGATGATTAATGGAAGGGAAAGATTTGGAGGTGATCAGTATTCCAGCACTGCTTCAAATGTAAACACACAGCAGGACAGGACTTGTGTGTATTATCACTGTAACGGCAGGTAACAAGATTCAAGCACCACTGTAATTACCATATTCAACATTAGTATTTATGACATTGGTTCTAAAACAGTCTGTCCTGCTTTCCTTGATTTCTTTCAGAAAAAAATAAATGCAGCTGAAAAATATTTGTATGTGTGACTGTGTTTTAATGTGAATGAGCACATTAGTGAAGATATGAATCAGTGTCATTTCTAATGTTTATCTAATTTGTTGTTTGTCTTGAGTGCTGATTGCCTCCTGTTGAGTGACTGTGTGAAATATCTGTGATTATTGCTCTTAACTATTTTTGTGTGTGGAAGGAAGTATTTCTTATATCTAGTAAATTATATCTTTTTTTACATAGAATTGAATTTAGTTATCTATAATTTGACAAATAAAAAGTCAAAAAATGTTGTTGTTTTAATTGGAAAGCCCATCACTTCCCTCACTTTTTTAACTTTAACTTTTTGTTTCAACTAGACAAACCAGTGTCCCCCCAAAAGTCTGTTGGTAGTGCTTTGTGTCGGTCTAGGAGCTGTCAGGACAGAGACCGCTGTGCTGAACATCGGTCACTGGTCAATCTGAAATCTCAGGCTGCTTCAACTTGTTCTGCTTTACTCACCCAGCATGCAAATATTGGGTGTCATCGGAATCACTGCTAAAATGAGCGGACATGTCTTAGTAGTTTCTTCTTGTGTTGTGTTTAAACCCCTGATCACTAGCTAGCAGTGTTGTTCTTCAGCCATTTGACTCGTCCACTCCAATGTAACAACGTAAACTGAGACCGGAAAAAATAAGCATATATTGCTAGCGTAAACCATAGACTGTACAATTAAAAATGGATGTAGTCTCTGTGACATCGCCCATAGGTTTCTGAAGAGGTGTCGTGAAGTGGTCGGCTCTGGTTGTCACCATCTTGGCAGTCCTGACTCCATCAGGTTCCTGCTAATCCAATAATGGTTATGGCCGTTAGAGGAACTGCAGGTTTTGTTTCCTACATGTTGGCTTCCTTTGCTAACTATACTATTTTTTTTCAAACACAATATATTGCAATATATTGAATCATAACCCCTGTATTGTGATACGTATCATCAAATTCTTGCCAATACAGAGTCCTACTACACATCAGCACAACATGTGGAGACAAAATGGACAGCACAGCAGAAATGGAAAAGCTGGAGCTGAGAGGGCATTAAAAGTAAAACAACTCTGGAGGAAAGTGGCGCTAAATGCTGCAAAAAAAAACTCAGAACATGCTAGACGTACTAGCCTTGTGTCAGGTGGAAGTCCAGTCAGAGCTCAGAGGAAATGTCAGTGCAAAACAAACCCTCCAAAATGCAACATTTAATATATGAACATTTATTAAGGATGATTATGATTTTTTCTTAATTATGAATGAATTCATGATGAATGAATGATGATGGACTGACTCTTGAAATTGTTTTTAACTATATTGGATGTTTTTTAAAGCAGTTTTTGTGCGTACTAATAAAAACAAGATAGGGGCTAATGAGCCTAAAGAGCTCCATTGTTAATAACAAATGATTGATTATGGCAGCTTTAAGTGGATTTGTATATTGTGCTTAAACAAACTGAAACCACTGGCTTTCTAAAGGGAGGTAAATATCTAAAAACCTAGTATGCTTTGAAAATGTTGGCAGCAACACATTGAAGCTCAAGATTTGTAAGTGAAGGTCAAAAACATTTAAAGCAGTCAGTGTGTTCCTTTAATCAGCCCCTCAGCCTCATCTCTGCCTCTGAGGAATCCACACACACACACACACACACACACACACACACACACACACACACACACACACACACACACACACACACACACACACCAGTTATTGTTATTGCACTTATTGCCATTAATGGCTCTACAGGCACGTGCCAACGTGCGGTTAATTGCCGTGAGCCCTGATAACATTACTATAGTCAATATGTTGCTCCTTAATACTGTTTGTCCCTCCTTGACCTCCACAGTCTGAATGAGGGTCTAACAACCCTGTCTGCGCTGACATGCTCTCTAATCAGCTAAGGACCTGCCCCCTTTACACAGGGGCTTAGTAATTAGATGGCTTTATGGAGGGCTCCTGGGGTGCACACACACACAAATCTCTTGTTGTGTCAGAGGCCCTAACATGCACATACACACCAACTGTTTAACCATTTAAGGCAGACATTTATATATATTTATATATATTATACAGAAAATATTATTTTAAAAATCTGTAATATTAATTTCAAAGAAGGGAATTTATCAACCATTTTCACAATTACATATTGTAATGCTATAAATTCAGTAGTAGTTACATTTCACAATCACTGAGCTGCCTATAGGATTTTTGGTGTTGCTTAGCTTCCATAGAGGAGGCTGAGGGGTGGGAGTGTGAGCAGGGCGGTTGGCCAGAGGGGTGGAGGTGACGGGTTGTGCAACATTTATAGTATTTGGCCAGGACTTAACGGTGGGAGGGGATCCTCCTCCTCCTGGAAGACCATTTGACCTCTGTGTGTATGTTTGGGGGGGTTGACTGGGTGTGTCTGTGAGTGTGTGTGTTCAGTATGTGAGCTATTCCTGACCCCGGGGACAGACTTAACAACGTGTGTGTGTGCTTTGTCTAGCCTCATTAGGAAGCATGTGTGCATGTTGTGGCAATGACTAGGGTGGGGAGGGGGGGTCGGTAGGTGGTTTGTTTGGGTGGCGGGGGGATTTCCAGCCAGTTGAGCCTTAAGGGTGACCTCCTGTGAGATGCTGCGATTGGCCGGGAACAGAAGCACCGATGGTACACACTGTGCTCCGCCGGCCGATCAATGTTTGAGCAAACACTGGGCTCCAAAATAAGCTCCCTGTCATCTGAGACTGCTCCTGAAGGAGCCCCTCATTACTGAACATTAGCGCTGTCATTAGCTCTCACAGGGGCTTTGCTGCAGAAATGTGGGATTTTAGGATTAAACCATCAGTGCTTTTGAAGGATATTGCTGATTGACAGCTGAAAAGTGGTTTTCCAATGAGACAGCTCCGCCACTCACTAAATATATCCTCAATTTGCACAAAATGCACATGGATATTGTTCAATTGCACAAGAACTTTGCTGCATATCCTTCATTAAGAATTTTTAGAGACACGGCAGTACTGGAACATACAGACACATTAAATGAAAAACCTGAAAGAATCAAACAGGTGAGCTCTGTGACAGGAGCAGGTCATGATTTTGGATCAAGGTGGCAAGAGAAAAAGATCTAAGTGACAGTGGGACACCCACAGCTCACATGGGCTCACTGATAAGTATGAAAACGGTGTAAATCATATACTGTGGCTCTCAGTCACAGATCTCAACCTGACTGAACACATATGGAGAGATTTTGGGATGACGTGTTAAGCCAAGGTCCGCACACGCAGACACAAGATTTACTATAAATAGAGCTGTGTGTGTAATTGCTGTCTGTTATGAAGTATACCAGAGCCCTAAAGGTCCAGTGTGTAACATTTGGGAGGATCTTTTGTCAGAAATGGAATATAATATTCATAGGTATGTTTTCATTAGTGTATAATCACCTCAAAGTAAGAATGGTTGTGTTTTCGTTACCTTAGAATGAGCTGTTTTTATCTCCAGAGGGAGGAGATCCTCTTCTGCATTGTCCACCAAGTTGAACCGCCGTTTTTCTACTGTAACATTTCGCATTACCATGGTTATCACCATAGTTTCTCTAACACACGTGTGTATGACTGAATAAGGTGTTTGATGGTGGTGTAGCGAGTTTGTAGTATTGTAGCGTGTCCAAACTGTTCATATGTGTGTGTGTGTGTGTGTGTGTGTGTGTGTGTGTACATCCTTCCAATACAATAAGATGTATTTTATTTGAGGAGAAAGCTCTCATGGAGTGGGTTGATGGGTATAATTGTTAGACTGCCATACAAAGTCAAGAGGATACTGGGATGCTGGGATTTAGAATATAATAGGACAGCTGCTTAATGACCCTCGACCAATAAGATTGTATATGTGTGCAGAGTAGTCAGACGGGCTATTTGGGCATATCATGCATTTGTCTGATTCTATTTATCCCATTAACTGTAGTGGTGTTGTGCAATAGGAATTCTATGCAGTGATTTCTATTCTTATTTAGTGCTGAGTTTGTTTGTCACATTTGAGCTGATTTGGTGCAACATAACTAACTTTTGTTTCTTATTTTTCTTTACTTTGTCTATTTAAACATCACCTGTGGTGTTTCCTCAGTTGTTGTTATTGAGTGCGTTATTGATTACAGAGTAATTTATTACTTTGTTTGTGGATGGGGAGGAGAGGGGAGTACTGTGTTTTTATAGTGTGAAGCACTTTGTGTTTGTTGGTATGAAAAGCGTGACTGATATCGACCCATAGTGATTGATTGATTGGCTGACTGATTATAAACTCACAGCTGAGCCAATGACCCGAGCTGGGGCCAATCCAGCCCCACACACACTCACGGAGGGACGTCCGCCTCCCCTTACTTGGCAGAAAAAATCATTGCTTGTGTCTTTATCATCCAGGCGCGCTCCCATAAGCGCGCGCACGCGGGATCCCTTGCGCGCGCTTGGCACGGCGCCGCGCACTCCAGCCCTGTGTGTAGTAACCCAGAGCAGTGGAGCTCTCAGCTAGACATGGCGGCGGATCCTAAGCCGGACTGGCTCTCCTGCCTTCCCTCTTCTTGGAGTTATGGGGTGACTCGGGATGGACGCATATTCTTCATCAAGTAAATATGACGCGGACACACGGATTTATGGATACGCACTGCTTATTTCTCCGCCGCATTTTCCCCTGTTTGTGTTTTTCGGCTTCTGTGTTCACCTTTTCCCCTCCGTTTTCTTCCACCAACAGCGAAGAAGCAAAGAGTACAACCTGGTTGCATCCTGTTACTGGAGAGGCTGTAATCACGGGGCACAGAAAAACTCCAGGTAAACAGTCTTCACAACGTTTTCTTCAATCCCTGCGCGGAAAAAACCCCGCACACACATGCGCGCACGGGAAAGGTTATCCGCGCGTCACGGTGGAGAGAAAAAAAAGGGGCGACAAGTTGCGGTGAGAGCCGTGGAAGACGATGAGGGGGAGATTTCTTCTCTCTGCAGCAAAAAAGCAACAGCCTTCCTCTGCTCCGCTCCCCCCTTTCTGCTCTCCTCTCTCTGGCGGACCATTACGCACGGCGTCCCCCCCGCCTCCCCAAAAGCCCTCCACCTCCCTCCCCCCTCGCTCCACCTGGACACTTTGCGACACACTTTTTAAAAGTTCCGTCACGTAGGCGTGAACCGATTTGGGAGCTGATTCCCTGCAGTGACATCTGACACATATACCGCTGAGAGCCGCTCCGCTGCAGAAACGCGGCGTTACCGAGCACGTATATGCGCCGGGGCCGGTTTAAAGAACAATGCATTGCGCCTGGTGCGTCGGTGCGGAGCCGATATTCCAAAATAAAATGTGGAAAGGGATGACGGGTGGGAGGGCACCGCTGCATGCAGATCAGCAGCGTATGCACACAGCTGGAGGCTGAGCAGCAGAAACACAATGATTGAGTAACCCGCAAGTATCTGCTCTGGTTAATGGGGAGGGGGGGCATTAAAGAGCACGAGCCAAATGAGCTATTCGTGGTCCAGACACTGCATTGCTGTGCAGGTGTGTGTGTGTGTGTGTGTGTGTGTGTGTGTGTGTGTAATCTGCTTCATATCTCTGCACAGCTGCTTATGTTTCTTGTGTTTTTCTCTCCCCCTCCCCTGTCCTCGCAGATTTACCAACAGGATGGGAGGAAGGATACACATTCGAGGGAGCTCGCTGCTTCATCAAGTGAGTTGGAATGTGTGGCAGAGAGAGAGAGAGAGAGAGAGAGAGAGAGAGAGAGGATGGATGCACAGAGGGAGAGGGGCAGTTTGGTCTCAGGCGGTGAGGGGCTGCTTTGTTTGGTCTGCAGGCACAAGCGATGTCCCTCAGCTCTCATCAACGCCCACCTCTCTGCCTCTCTGCCCCGCTGGAGGGATTCTTACATCTCTGTTTCTCTCTCCTGTAACACACACACACACACACACACACACACACACACACACAGACAATCAGTGTGTATGAATAGCCGCACGGTCTTGACATCCTCTTGCTGCTGCTGTTGAGGCTTTCTCCTTCTATCAGTTATGTTCTCGCCCTTCACCTCTCTCTCTCTCTCTCTCTCTCTCTCTCTCTCTCTCTCTCTCTCTCTCTCTCTCTCTCTCTCTCTCTCTCTTCACAAACACACCACACACACTTCAATGGATGGATCTGCCATCTGTGGGACGCAAGTTTGACAAGCCAGTGTGACTCAGGCTGCTCTGCTCTCTGAACAGGCTCTACTTGTTGGTGTCTTGCGTGTGTGAACATGTGTGTTTGTGTGTGTGAGCAACTTCTCAAGGGCTATTAGCTCCATGTGCACATTTGCGTACATGTATATATTTTTTGGGACCTGTTTGACGACAAAAATGCCCCGCAGCCTCTCACGCACCGATAGCTCTCTCTCTCTCTCACACACACACACACACACACACACACACACACACACACACACACACACTCTGAGGTTGAGAGCAGCCACTTTGATTTGTTCTACCTACTTTCTCACCTAGTTTTCCCGCTGTTGCTCGTTCTGTCTGTGGCCATTTTGAGAGCAGCAGCTGACACATACGGTGAGCTAATATAGCTGCTCTATAAATAGCCCTGAACCGCTGCTCATCAGTATGTATGAATGCATGCGGAATGCGCACACATATACACACACACACACTCATGCATACAGTGCAGACATGTAAATATACAAGCCCGTGATACACGTGTTGAGCACTCGCACGCAAACGCCGACAGTCACTTGAGTGAGCAGCCAGCGGTCCAGTGTGGCAAGTGGACAGCTGTGAATGCAGGTGTGAGTGCAGCCAGAGAACACTTCGGGATCAGAACAGGACACGTTCAGAGGGGGTGCAGGGAGGCTTGAGATTGTGTGCAGCAGTGAGGACAAATCAACTAATTAAATTCAATTAAACAACAAATTCAGAGGGCTACAGATTGCTGTTGGGCTAGTATTGAGCCCCCCACTGCCTGTGGCCCTGTGTGCAGTGTGTATAGCCTTTCCCATTGAGTACCATGCAAACAGCAGACCATGACAGCTTCACAACAGACCCAGAGACCAGTACTTCTCTGCTGGAATAATACCCGCTCACCCGAAGTTTTCTGTGTGGAATATGTACCATACCATAAGCATTAAAACTAGATTTTGACATAGGATCCCTCTACAAGATAGAGCTGTTTCATTTAATTTATCACAAATAATAATGGAGGACTCATCCTATTTTACTTTACTGTTACAAGTTCCCTGAACAAATTAGCAATCAATGAAAAAAACAAAAACTAATTGACATGCAATGAACCTGTGGCTTCTGGCCCACCTCCAGGTCTGGGGCCATGGTGTCCTTTCTGCCCAGCTGGTAATCTATCCTTCTGGATCCTCCCCAAGGACTCACAGTATAAAACCGAGTGGTCTTGAGATGATGAATGGGATAGGAAAGAACAAAAGAGATGTTTGTATTGAATACTGACTGAAATGTGTCTGTAGCATATCAAAGGGTGGCACTGAATACTTGGTCAGATTCATAGTCTTATATATGTATTCTAGGCTGATAGTGAACCGTTTTAATTTCATTAGTGAAAAAGTACTGGCACCAGAATACTGAACCCTAAACGTTTTACTGTGAAATACTGGTTAGTTTTTGAAAATTTCAACACACTGGCTACATTCTCTTGCTTTATGCAACAAAAACAGCCCAAATCAAACCCCAAAACCCCATACTGTGTCGATACCATTTTGTTTGTGTAGCAGATCTTTAGATTGTTCACAAGTAGCTTCATTTTATGAGGTTCGGATGCACTGGTTTAGGGTAAACGTAAATGCATCACTAACCTAATTGACAAGCCACCTCATCCAGTCTGGGCAAGGTACCAGAAAACTACAACAGGCGTCCTCTCTGGTTGTTCAGTGGAACACAGATGTGTCTTTATTCTCTGTATGTTGGCCGACAGCACGAGATTTGATTGCAAGGTGAAACTGGTGAGAAATGGTCATTTGCAACACATTTTTGTACCAGGTGTCAACTGCAGCCTCTGTTTTTAGTCAAATCGAGGACAAGGCACTGATAGAGGACAGCCACTGCTGTTTTTCTGGTGTTTGCTGACTCAGACTAAACTGCAGGCTAAGGATCCACGCTTCCACATTTACAGCGTTTAACACAATGAGCAGCATTTGACTGAACAATTGGGCCTAGTCTCATATTTGCCGGACAACACTGCATCGTCACCATTTCTTCAAATCCTTCAAATTCCTCCCAAATTCTTGCTCGGTCACTTCTCTATCAGCCCTTTATTGGAATCCCGGCCCCGCTGCCCCCTCCACATCCGTGGTGTTGAAGGACACTGCTGCCCTCTGAATGCCCGTTGACAGGCGGTCACTCCCCAGGCCCAGGCCTTCAGGGTGGGGGTCAAACTGCTCCCGCCTTTGTTTGATGCTCAGGTTTCCATTTTGAAACTGTTTATGTCCTTGGTGGCAATGTAAAGCCTTAGGATTCCTCTAAACACAAGTTTGGCCACATGTTGGTTTGCTGCAATAAAGCTCACTTGTAAACTGACTCCTCAGCTGTAATGCCATCACTTGGCAACACTTTAGACTAAGCACCAAGTTTTAAACCACACTGATTCATCAACAAACATTGACGCAATCCTGATTGCAGGGCGTGCAAAGCTCCAGTGGAATATGAGGAACTCGGCTTTTGTTTCTGCTTTGGGTCTACTGTGCCTTCGGGGAGAACTGAAACATAGAGGACAGGCCACATTTTCAGTTGGCCTGCTGCATGTTTCTCATTTAGATTCTGATCAGTGTTTAGAGCTGCCGCAATATCTTCCAAATGCCTTTCAAAACATTTTTTTTTTGCCAAGATTTTGAAGTCCTGCCAACTGGTGTTTAGCTCTGCACAGCTAACTAATTGCTGTGGTACTGACCCATGGCACGGCAAAGGAGTTCTGGCTTGGAATGAAACATGGCAGCTTCTCATGTGTTGCGGTAGAATGTTTAGTCACTTTCTTTCAGTTAAACAAGGCACAGGAAATGAAACATGTTTACCTGCCTGGCTGTCCCATTGATTGTATGTCAGTCATTGGTTTTTTGGGAGACATTTGGGGCTCACTGCTCATTGCTGCATTAGAAAAAAGTGTGCCTGCCTTGTCTTAGGCTGGAGAACAACTTGCTTTTATCTTGGCATGATGGCTGCGTCCTGCGTCCGTTTGGGTGTGCGTCCTCAGAAATTGACGCAACACGAACTTGTGGTTAAAAGGCAAGTGTAACTCCGGCTTCAGTGAAATAGGCTTAGACACCTGTCAATCACAGCAAACACCCTCCTAAACGTACCCATTTGAAGCCTTAATATTAATGGAACAATATCACATTTTTGAACCTTTTCTTCTCTTTCTTTGCTCTGTTTTTACTCTGTTTACAGCCCTATGACACCATCACTGCATGTCTTACCAATGCCATATAATATTTTCAGAGTAATTTGGGCTGCTCAGAAATGCCATCCATTTGCATGTGAGTGTTACCCTATGCATAGTTCTGGTACAGCTTTTATGAAATAAATTTTTACTTCGGATGTATCTACTCTCAACTCACGATTCGATACAGTTCATCAAATAATTTTGACAAAATGAGATTCTTATTATGACTGAAAAAGATTTCAGTTTCATATATTTTCTTTATCAAATTATAGAACCCTTTTGTATTTCTGAGGTAGAGTATAAAGTGTGCAAAACAATGCATGTTTACTTTTCTTTGTAAAAGTGAAACTGAAGTCTTGATAACAAGATTGATATTCATTTTCTTCACGTATTTATATATAGAGGAGAGTCAATATTCCAGGTATATTTGAACCATGTTGATGAGACATTCTGGGTCTAAAATCCCCCAAAATGTGTTGATAGTTAAAAACAAAAGCTAAAATTAATGGATTTTATCACACTGTTTTTCATTTTTCCATTTGCCATATATGTGTTCTGTGTAGGTCCATTCTTTGGGTCAATGAGCTTATATTCCACAATATTGTAGCTACACGACTTTCCATGGTGATATTTAAGTTTTGATGCAAATTCAGTTCAAACAGTTGTAATCACAAATAAAGAAATTAAATCAGTTGTTGGGGGCACAGAAGACATGGCATGACATTGTATTTTGGTTGGACTCTGTGTTTTCCCTTCGATGTTTAACTAGTTTGATTATTGTGGAGGCAGCATCTACGATGCTATTAGAGGAACTGCAACTTGCACATTGGTTTCAGCACTCAGCTGTTGTGGTTGCTGCTTGTGCTGTCCACGTCAACCCAGGAACAAAGAATCCGCTCCAATTTTTCTCAGAATATGGAACTGATCATCATGTGACTCACATCCGCTTCGTTGTATCTGAAACAGTAGATCCATTGTGTCTACTTTGTTGTTTATTAGTGTATAATAATAAATAATAAAAACTGTAGTTATTTTGGTTGTGGCATGCTACAAACTAGATGAAATAAAGTTGAATTGGTTTGATTATTTACATTAAATATTACCTACAGAAGGAAGTGAAGGATTCATTGAATATTATACAGGACGTCTACTCAGTCCTATCTACAACCCCTGAGAATGCTGCAGTTGTTCCATTAGCAGTGGATGATTGTGAGAAGATGCAGAATTGGGGGACTTTATGGATCTGTAGTGTAGACATAATGCAGTAAATATTGAGGTTAAGCTGAATAACT